GACGACAACTCCACGCGATGACAACACTCCAAAAACACGTGATTCACTTGGCAACAGCGACTGGCTCAGCACTGAAAGCATTTTCATCGCGATAAAAAAGGGGACGAGCATTATAGTTACTCCGTGCCTTAACGCCCGAACGCTTAGCCTCGGCAAGACTTCTAACATAATGCTTTAATCTTTACTGCTACCATAATCACTCACCTCACAGATGTATACAAATACATGCTCATCCACACACCAACCCATCCACACAGACACAAACGCGCAGAATCCCTAACACAACAATCAATAATTTACCCTTACCAACAAAGTTTCATAATTAGGAAAAAAAAACATAAAAAACTACTTGCCTCACATCCATTGACAGAGAAGCTTCGCCTGAGAGCTCTCCGAGTCCCGCCCTGGTAAGAGCTCAAGTTCAGAGCTTCAAGGCGGGAGACGGCTGGAGTGGGTCACACAGTACTCACCTTCCCCTCGTTACTTGCCTCGCTAATGACACATAATTGTACCACAAATCCTGCCGTGTAAAGTCCTCGGGTAGTCCGCCCGCGATGAGCCAAGGAAGGAAGGACCTGTAGCTTGGGAGTCGCGATGCTGCCCTCCCCCCTCCATCCTTATCTCGCCGGCACTTACATTTCATAACAAACAGAAGATAGTACGTGATAACTGATAATTCACGTCACATCAAACACCCCGACTTCTAACAGCCTCACCATCTCTCGAACCGCAAGTCAGACCCTTCTGAAAGGTACGCTGGAATTCACAAACAAAAATCCACTTCCTCATCTAACACCTCGACCCTCTAACACCACCCCTATCTCTCGAACCACAAGTCAAACCCTTCCGAAAGGTACCCTGGAATTCATCATCAAACACTTCCTCGTCTAACACCTCGCCCTCTAACACCACCCCCTATCTCTCGAACCACAAGTCAAACCCTTCCGAAAGGTACCCTGGAATTCACCATCTAACACCTCGACCTCTAACACCACCCCCTATCTCTCGAACCGCAAGGCAAGTCCTCCTCAAGTGCCTTCTTCCACCCCTATCACCGCCGCAAGAACACCGTCCCATTAAGCCAGGAGGCGTCACCGCAAAATCACTCCATTAGCAATAACAAGCCGCCATCATCATTTCGCGGAGACTAATACACCGCTGCCACCATTGCTCAGGCGCGAACCTACTCCCGGGGGTTATAATCGAAATAACAATCAGATTAACGTTCTTCTAAATTGTTCTTTCCATTTCATTTCACATTTTGTTTTTTTCTTGTGGTTTCTACGTTTTTATTTCTCTGTGTTTCGTCCCTTTTCCAGTCTTTCTTTTTCTCTCTCTCTCTTCGTACGATATGTCACGTGAAGATCGATAACACCACTCTTTCGGGCCACACGCAAACGCACAAACATACACACTCACTCACACGCACAAACGTGGATACAGAATCACACACACACACACACACACACACACACAACACACATATATATATATATATATATATATATATATATATATATATATATATATATATATATATATATATATATACACACACACACACACACATGCATAAATACATACATACACACACATACTATACAAATATATGAGTGAGTGTGAATGTGAATGTGAATGTGAGTGTGTGTGTGTGTGTGTGTATATGTATGTTCGTA